AACGAGCTGCTGCGTTCTGCACAAGCTGAAGTCGAGCGAGAGTGGAGGAGGAGATACCGTATAGCACTGAGTTAGAGTAGTCGAGACGGGAAGTAATAAATGCATGGACAACTGAATGGAGATGACGCCTTTTTAAAATGGGCTTAACTTTAGAGAGACGCCTCAGGTGGTAATAACAGGTCTTAACTACCTGGTTGACATGAATGTCCATTTTTAGTTTAGCATCCATCACAACCCCTAAGTTTGTGACACAGTTTTTCAACCCACTTGTGATAAATGGAAGGGTCAGTTGGGGACTTTGAGAGGTACCAGGGCTGAAAATGATGGCCTCAGTCTTAGCGTTGTTCAGCTAAAGAAAGTTTTCTGACAGCCAGCTCTTCACATCATTGCAGCATTCAACAAGGGGCAGTAAGGAGTCATTAGGCTTCACAGAGGCATATAATTGGCAATCGTCTGCATAAAAATGGTAATCAATGTGGTGTTTTTTAAAAATGTCACCCAGGGGCAATATATATAAATTAAATAAAAGGGGTCCAAGAATAGAGCCCTGAGGAACACCACAAGTCAAAGCTTCAAAAAGCTTGATAGCAGCACAAATATTTTTTGTGGCAACTTTTTTTCAGTCTGGCTAAAAGTCTGTTTAGTCGGTCTCAAAATCATGACAGTTCTGTCATATTGAACAACTGTTGTCTTTGATTCTAATTTTAATGATTCTGTTTCAGGTGGAAATGCTGTGTGATTCCTGTGTCCTGTGGCCCATGACCCGTGTCAGCCCGGTTCTGGATGTGGCCTTGCTGAGGTATCTGTAGCAAGGTGCTCGGCTGTCTGGGAGGTGGTCTGAGTTGGTTCTGTGCTCTGTGCTGGCTGCTGGTTTCCTGGTGCTTGGCGCGGTTCCAGAGTGCACCTGATCCATGAGGTCTCACACTTCACATCCCAGCCCACGCACGAACACATGGTTGTTGATGTTTGTTGTTCATGGTTTACATGTTTATAGTTGTTCTTCCCACGTTTTCTTGATGACTCTTAGAAATGTTTTACAGGTGCAGCAGCTGGTTGCTGTTTGTTATGTTGGTTTCCTAGTTGTATTTATTTTTCTCTCTTATTTACTTGTTTGTCCTCCATCAACCCTCTTTAATCCAGATTGGTTCAGCATTTACATGCTGATGTGGCGATACATAACCCAGACCAATATTACAAAAACATAAACTCGTACACAAAACGCTCCTCTTGGTAGAACAAATCTGTTCGGCACATTCTGACAGACAGACCACCATTCTTCTGTCATGTTGCTGTACAGGACATTTTTAGAGTTTTTCTTTTTAAAGATAAATAGTATTACATTTAAAGAGCAATACTTTCACGTTATCATTTTCCCACACTTTCTGTATTCCTGTATTTTGTTGTTTTTCAATAAAGAATGACAAATTATTTAAGTTTATGGTTTTTTTAGCACACAAATATCTATCTGTAAATAATATCTACAAATATCTACAAAGCTAATATTTACATAACAAGTATGATTGGGTTTGTCAATACGGCAGCCTCTAAGGTTTATTTTAGTACGATTTTTAAACTGTGAATCGGGTGGCAGACCAAGGCGGGAGCCTTGGCGGTCCAATCCCCGGACAAGAAAACTAGTTTTTGGGACATGGAACGTCACCTCGCTGGCGGGGAAGGAGCCGGAGCTTGTGGCAGAGGTTGAGCGGTACCGGCTAGATATAGTCGGACTCACCTCGACACATAGCATTGGCTCTGGAACCCGAGACCTGGAGAGGGGTTGGACACTCTACTTTGCTGGAGTTGCTCCGGGTGAGAGGCGGAGGGCTGGGGTTGGCTTTTTGTTAGCCCCGAGACTCTCTGCCTGTGTGTTGAGGTTTACCCCGGGGGACAAGAGGGTAGCTTCCTTGCGCCTTCGGGTCGGGGAACGGGTCCTGACTGTTGTTTGTGCTTATGGGCCAAATATCAGTTCAGAGTACCCACCCTTTTTGGAGTCCCTGGGACGAGTGCTAGATAGTGCTCCATCAGGGGACTCCATTGTCCTGCTGGGGGACTTCAATGCTCACGTGGGCAATGACAGCTTGACCTGGAGGGGTGTGATTGGGAGGAACGGCCCACCTGATCAGAACTCGAGCGGTGTTTTGTTATTGGACTTCTGTGCAAGCCGCAGTTTGGCCATAACGAACACCATGTTCGAACATAAGGATGCCCACCGGTACACTTGGTACCAGGGCAGCCTAGGTCACAGGTCGATGATAGATTTTGTAGTCGTATCATCTGACCTGCGGCCGTATGTTTTGGACACCCGAGTGAAGAGAGGGGCGGAGCTGTCAACTGATCACCACCTGGTGGTGAGTTGGATCAGATGGCAAGGGAACATGCCGCGTAGACCTGGCAGACCCAAACGCATAGTGAGGGTCTGCTGGGAACGCCTGGCAGAAGAACCTGTCAAGACGGTCTTCAACTCCCACCTCCGGCAGAGCTTTGACCACGTCCCGAGAGCAGTGGAGGACATTGAGTCCGAGTGGGCCTTGTTCCACTCTGCGATTGTCGAGGCGGCTGTTGCTAGCTGTGGTCGTAAGGTGGCCGGTGCCAGTCGTGGTGGCAACCCCCGTACCCGCTGGTGGACACCAGAGGTTCGGGGAGCCGTCAGGCTGAAGAAGGAGGCCTACAGGGCGTGGCTGGTCTGTGGGTCTCCAGAGGCAGCAGACAGGTACCGGATAGCCAAGCGGGGTGCAGCAGTGGCAGTTGCCGAGGCAAAATCTCGGGCGTGGGAGGAGTTTGGTGAGGCCATGGAGAAAGACTATCGATCGGCTCCAAAGAGGTTCTGGCAAACTGTCCGGCGCCTCAGGAGAGGAAGGCAGCAACTCGCTCACACTGTTTACAGTGGGGATGGGGAGCTGCTGACGTCAACTGAGGCTATAGTCGGACGGTGGAAGGAATACTTTGAGGAGCTCCTCAATCCCACCAATGCGCATTCCGAGGAGGAACCAGAGCTGGGAGGCCTGGGGATGGACTGTCCGATCTCGGGGGCAGAAGTTGCTGAGGTAGTCAAACAACTACACAGCGGCGGAGCCCCGGGGGCGGATGAGGTTCGTCCTGGGTATCTCAAGGCTATGGATGTTGTAGGGCTGTCATGGTTGACACGTCTCTGCAACATTGCGTGGTCATCGGGGGCAGTTCCTAGGGAGTGGCAGACTGGGGTGGTGGTCCCCATCTTTAAGAAGGGTGACCTGAGGGTGTGTTCCAACTATAGGGGGATCACACTCCTCAGCCTCCCTGGAAAGGTCTACTCCAAGGTACTGGAGAGGAGGGTCCGATCGATAGTTGAATCTCAGATAGAGGAGGAGCAATGTGGTTTTCGTCCTGGCCGTGGAACTGTGGACCAGCTCTATACCCTTGCAAGGGTGATGGAGGGGGCATGGGAGTTTGCCCAACCAATCCACATGTGCTTTGTGGATTTGGAGAAGGCTTATGACCGTGTCCCCAGGGGCACCCTGTGGGGGACGCTCCAGGAGTATGGGGTGGGTGGCTTTCTGTTAAGGGCCATTCAGTCCCTTTACCAGAGGAGCGTGAGTTTGGTCCGCATAGCCGGTAGTAAGTCGGACCTGTTCCCAGTGAGGGTTGGACTCCGCCAGGGCTGCCCTTTGTCACCGGTTCTGTTCATCACTTTTATGGACAGAATTTCTAGACGCAGCCGTGGTGTGGAGTGTGTCGAGTTTGGTGGCAGGAGAATCTCGTCTCTGCTTTTTGCGGATGATGTGGTCCTCCTAGCTTCATCCAGCTCTGACCTTCAGCTCTTGCTGGGTAGGTTCGCGGCCGAATGTGAAGCGGCTGGGATGAGGATCAGCACCTCCAAATCTGAGACCATGGTTCTCGACCGGAAAAGGGTGGCTTGCCACCTCCGGGTCGGGGGAGAGGTCCTACCTCAAGTGGAGGAGTTTAAGTATCTCGGGGTCTTGTTCACGAGTGAGGGTAGGAGGGATCGGGAGATCGACAGGCGGATTGGTTCGGCGTCTGCAGTGATGCGGACGCTGAGCCGATCTGTCGTGGGGAAGAGGGAGCTGAGCCAGAAAGCCAGGCTCTCGATTTACCGGTCGATCTACGTCCCAATCCTCACCTATGGTCATGAGCTTTGGGTAATGACTGAAAGAACGAGATCGCGGATACAAGCGGCCGAAATGAGTTTCCTCCGTAGGGTGGCCGGGCTCAGCCTTAGAGATAGGGTGAGGAGCTTGGACATTCGGGAAGGACTCGGAGTAGAACCGCTGCTCCTCCGGATCGAAAGGAGCCAGTTGAGGTGGTTTGGGCATCTGGTCAGGATGCCTCCTGGACGCCTCCCCGGGGAGGTGTTTCGGGCATGTCCTGCCGGCAGAAGGCCCCCGGGTCGACCCAGGACACGTTGGAGAGGTTACATCTCCAATCTGGTCCGGGAACGCCTTGGGGTCCTGCCGGAGGAGCTGGTGGACAAGGCCGGGGAGAGGACGGCCTGGAGCTCCCTAGTTGGGATGCTGCCCCTGCGACCCGGACCCGGATAAGCGGAGGAAGACGAGACGAGACGAGACGAGACGATTTTTAAACCAAGTAAAGTTAGTAAAGAACACATTTCAATTGGCTGCTAAGAAACTGTTGGACTTAAAATGGGCCTGTTGTAGAAACAACTTGGCATAAATGATTCTTCCTTCCTTTTTGTCTAAACCAAAGAAATCCCCCCCCCAACGGCATAAAATGGTACAGTCCACCTGGCCGAGGGGCGCGTAGCAGGCGAGGCCAGCTCACGCAGCAGTCAGACAGCAGAGTGCACCGAGGCTGCAGTAAAGAATATGTTTGCAAAAACAAAGTCTGGGTCACAGAAAAGGAAAGAAAGAAATGAGAAAGGACAGGCAGAAGAGCGGGCGTCAGTATGTCACATAGTTTTTCTCAAAGAGAGGTGGGTTTAGTTAGGCCTGGTCCACACGTAGCCGGGTTTTTAAAAACGAATATCTGCCCCTCCAAAAACTTGCATCCACACCACCTCGTTTTAAAACAAACTCTGTCCACACGTACCCGGATAAATACGTTGTTAAGGACATGCCAGACCTGTAGGTGACAGTACTTCCCCCGTTCTTAACCTCGTCCTTCGTCTGTGGTCTTCCACAAGGAGCAGTAATTCCTCTTGCAAAAACAAACAAGCAAAAAGCGCTTGGACAATTGATAAAGCGAGCGCAGCTCTGAGGGCATCCATGCTGTCGGCTAGTGTAAACACAGGTCGCACACGTGATGTCAGCATGTTTTTGTCGCGGAAAGTGACGTTGCGGACCTTAAAACTCCGGTTTTGTCTGTCCACACGCAGACACCCAAAACGGAGAAAACGCAGATCTTCACTTTGGCCGGAGTTTTTAAAAAGATCCGTTTTCGTGTGAAAAAACTCTTGTTTTCGTGTGGATGACAGGCCAAAACGTAGAAAAATATCTACGTTTTGGCAGATCCCAGGCTACGTGTGGACAGGGCCTTAGTGAGTGGTTAAATTCAGCCTATTTGCTAGCTCTGATATCCACAGTGAGAGGAACTATGTTTCATCTAATTATGGTAAATGGGTTGTTGTCCTTGTCCCTACCAGAATCAGCAGTTGATGATATGTCAGCAGGTGTCCCCTCACAACCCAATGAACCTCAAGAAGGTGAGCAATGTAGCATGTTAGCTAGCAGCCTCATTTAAGGGGGTCTATGGGAATCACGTAAGGCTCTCTTCTCTATCAGTACTAATACAAAGGAATATAAAAAGGCTATTTTTGGTGATAAACACATTGTTTTTCCACATAATGATAATTATATCAATCTGTAAAAATGTATAGATTGTTTTTGATGCTGGGCAGGTTGAAACATTGTTATTTAGTCCGTCACTAAGTATGTCACTCAGGAGCATTAATTATATCACTGTAAATAATAAATCTTGTTGTGTACAATCAAGGCTGAATATATTTTTAGCTGTTTTTTGTTGTTGAGGAAAATGGGTTTCTAGAGACTTATATACGTATTCATGCAAAGTTATCCAACTTTAAAATTTTATGTAACCCTAACTGACTCCGGTTTGATGTACTTATTCATTTTGTGTCTATGATGAAGTCATGGAGACTTAATAAAGAAGTCACCTTGTGAGCAGTGAATCCTTCACTTTTGTCAGTCATACAGAAATACTTGATTTCAAGAGGAAAGACAGCTGAAAATGTAGTTATGTAAAGCTTTGACACAACGTGCAAATTTAATCAGATATCCAAATTTGAATTTTATCATCAAATAAAATTTTAGAATAAACACATTTTAAGGGAGTAATAGGGAAAAGGAGATTAACACCTTTCAGCATGTGCATTTCCTATTTCCAGCAGTGATATTGCTAATTCTGTTGAAGGAAATTCACTGTTTAATGAGAGACAGCTGGTGAAAATGATATGTAAATAAGTAAGAATGCATGTAGACCTACTTTAATTAAAAAAAACTGAAACACTAATATAAAGAATATATATTATATTTTTTTCTCCCTTCGAATCTGGGAGGGTGGAACCCCAGCTCCAGCTATGGATGAGCCCCCAGGGGGCCCAACTTGATATTTTTTCATGGGGCCCAAAATCTCTGGCAGCCCCCCTGCCTCCAGCTACACCTTTGGGTGATGGATGACATGATGATCATCATATGAGTGTGTAGAAGGTGAAGCCGGTGCAGGTCCTTCATCATGTTGACCAGCTTCACACTGCTGATCACCCCCATGTCATTGCCGCCACAGTGGATGAGAAGGACATCAGAAGCTGCTCTTCCTCGCAGGGAGTGGAAAAAGAAGGGGAGAAGGTCTTTCCACCTCAGTCCGCCCCAACTGAACCAGGAGACACGGACATCAGGGAGGCCAAGTTTGTCTCCGAGGGTCTTTGCAGCTCTCTGGGCACCACGCCTCACGCAGCTGTCACCAATGATCCAAATGGCTATGGAAGAAAAAAAAGCAGGTTTGGCTTAGCTGTTCAAAGTACAAAACCATACATGAAGTGGTCAAGACAGGTACATGGTACTTACACTTGCTGCGTTGTGTAGCCGACGTTGAAGACACACAGGTTGCCATGGTGACCTTGTAACAGATCTCAGAAAAAAATGTAATAAAAAATGAAACTTAAAAACTCCCAGACCTCATTTCATGATTGCTAATCAGCTATGGCTGATTTATTGTTTGGATCACAGTGAGTTACACTAATTCTAATATATTTTTATTTCTATTATACATACGTACTTTTTAACTGTTATTTTCACATGACTGTTATCAGGCTCTCTTGTTCTGGTTCTCATGATAATAATTCTGTTTCTTCCAGTAAGTTATCTTGTGCTTACTTCATCTGTATAATGTCTCTTTACTCTTGGTGAATTGTACTGAGTCCAGAATAAAGGCTACTTGGCTGTACAAGATACAAACAAGTATTACGTTTTAGAAATATATGAAATGTATTTAGCCTGCTAATTTATCTCAAATACTGATAATTACCGTATTTTCCGGACTATAAGTCGCACTTTTTTTTTCATAGTCTGGCCGGTCCTGCGACATACTCCGTAGCGACTTATATACCAAATTATGTAGGCTATACTGCGCTTCTGCAGGCCGGCTCTGGACCAGGATTGAGCTCCCCTGCCCCGCTGGGAATAAAAAACACACAGCCATCACCTGCTGGAGCCTGTTGCACACTGGATCCGGCCCAAGTTTCAGCTCCTCTGCCCCGCCATCACCTGCTGCAGCCTGTGGCGCGCTGCTGCGGGCCGGCTCCGATCCAGGAATGAGCTCCCCTGGCCCGCTGGGAGGGTTTCAAACACCGCCATCCTCTACTGTAGACGGTGGCGCGCTGCTGTGGCCACCTCCCATTTTTCTTCAAAAAAGTGTTATTGGAGCCTATGGAAACCCGTTGTCCATATATGTATGTGGATGTGTGAGACCAATGGGTTCAAACAAAATAACAAAGTATGCCTAAACATTGTGTTATTTATTAATGTTGATGTATTTTCATGTCAGGATGTGGGTTTGGAGGAATTTTAGGACCCAAGATGCAGAACCAGAGACACGAGACAGGAGGTGGAAAAAATGTAAAATCCTTTATTAAGGAGTAAATCCAAAGGAGGCAGGGAGCCAAAAACCAAAGTCCAAAAATCCTATTATCAAAACGTAGAGAAATAAAAAAAACCACGAGAGACCTAGAGAGCAATGGACCAACAACAGAGAGACACAGACAAGGTTATATACACAGGGGCGGGATGAATGGGAGATGAGATGCAGGTGCGTGAGGAGAGAGAACCTAGTGAAATCAATTAACTAATCAGGGAGAGGAAACTAAGCTGAGAAGGTAAAATAAACATGACCTATGAATAATAACCAAAACCTAAAGACTGGGAGAACAAAATAAAGATCTAAGGAGAACTGATAAACCAGCGGGGAAGGACCAAGGAACCTAGGAGAAGAAAACCTGAACCTATGAGAACTATAGGAAAAAACTAGTTAGATAACACAAGAAAACAAGAATAGGTGAACCTGGGAGACCTGGTGGGAGCTGGAGGCAAGAAGGGGCACAGGAAGCTTAAGGGGAGAACCTGGAGTGGGCTGGGGAACAAGGGACACAGAACCCGAGGGGACACCTGGAGGGAGAAACCTGGAGGGGGCTGTAGACAAGGGGACACATGAGGAACACAAGGAGACACATAAGGGGATCCTAGAGGGGGATGGAGAACACCAGGAGACACATGAGGGAGCCGCAAACCATGACATTTCAGTGATGCTTCTTTAAAGATGTGGTTTTCTGACAAACCATTTTTAATGATTATTTTTTGTTTCTGTTTCTCATTCAGAATGAACAAGAAAATTGTCTCCCACACCTATCTCCTGCATTAGCTTCCAATAGAAAATAGATGGAGAAACTCTAGGTTTAGAAAATCCTGACAGATCTACGTCACGCTGTCATTAAACATTCATGGCGCTGTTGTTGGTTTAGTGTCCAGGAAACAGCAGAGAATGTCTTGACTAGTTGATCAGTTGATGCTAACCATTAGCATTAGCTACTCCAGCACACAGCAGAACTCCTTCGGGAGGCTTGTGTTATTTGTGGAGATAAAACCTGAATGTGTCAAAGCAACCAGAGCCAGTGGTAGAGTTCCACTGCCTAGATGTCCAAACATCTGGAAATAAGATGCTGTCTGAAGCTCAGCTCTAATGTGGCTCACTACTAGTTCCTGAAAGTGGTGCACCTGAGCTTTTCCCCCCAAGTATGACTTACAAGGCATTCGTTCTTATGAAACCATTGCAAATGCATTGCTTCAACGAGTCTTCCACACTTTTAATTTTTCAAAGGTCAGTTATTTTAGTTATTACCTGAAAAATAATAATCTAAGTTTTATTTAAAGAGCAAGTCACCCCCAAATCAACTATTTTTTCCTGATAAACTATATAAATGCGTGTCTAATCGTGCTGCAGACACGTGTAGTCAATAGTTTTGCATTTTAGTGCATTTTAGTTAAAATTTAAATTTTCTGCCTGAAACTGGCAGTGTTGTGCCGTTGTCAGGTAAAAACTCTTCACTGCATTTGAATTTAAATCTGCCATCGCTATTGGCTAAGAGGTATGCTATGATGTAAACTGGTACATTATGATGTCACGATGTCATGAGTGTGTGTATTTGTTAGCGGCTCCACCCTCTCGGTCTGCTAGGAAACAGCATTTGTTGCATTTTTCAAACATGAAGTGGGAGTGAAGTACGCTTCGCAGGGTTTCTCAACCTTTTTCAGCTAAATGCCCCCCCCCCAAGTCATGCTGAAATCCCTTACTGCCCACCAATGTCCCATGCAGAGAAACAGAAAGGTTTTTGATACATAAATCATAATAAAAAATATATATATATATATACAATTCAACCTTGAGTTTGAAACAGTTTCATACAAATATGTCATTAAAAAAGTATCATAAAAAAGTGGTTTTAGGTATTAACAACGAGATATTGTAGGAAGCGATAGTCCTCGGTCCAGTAAAATCATGCTTCGAGCAAACATTCTGCTAATGCTACCTCTCTTAGAGTGTCTCTCTTTAATTACCTGAAAGTAGTTCAGTTCCTTTGAAGCTTTGTCTGGATGCATTTTGGACAAGTGCTCCTTAAGCCGGGAGGGTTTCATTGCTTCGTTTCAAAAAACTTGTTCACAAAGCAGGCACATGGGGAGTTGTGGATTCGTGGGTGAAGGACTAAATCCATACCGAAGGTAGTCCACATTGTACTGTCAGCACTTCTTTTTATTCTGAGCCATTGTCTGTTATGAATGTCCTGTATCGCTAGCGCCCACCATTAGCATCTCAGCGCCCCCTTCGGTGGCAAAAAACTTTCAACGCCCCCTTATATAGTCTGAACGCCCACTGGGGGGCGCTACAGCCCCCGTTGAGAAACTCTGTTGTAAGGGGTGACTTGCTCTTTAACAACCTGTTAAAAAAATGCACCAGAGTGCAGCAAATGAGAAACTAAGAAGTGTAAAAATGTGCAGGAGGGTTCATTAGAATATTTTTGGGGCAGAACCAGATGACCTATTGAGAGCCTTTTCTCCAAACAGTGACTAAGTGTTAATCTAATAACTTATGTTTATTTCCTATGTTGACATTTAAGATGGCATTTATTTTAGTTGTTTTTTTTTTGTTCTTTGCTTGAAAAGTTAGAAAGTATGATTTGATTGTGGGTATATGTTAGTAGAATAGGTAATACTCAGAGACTGTTATTTATCAAAAACACCATGGCACTTATTCAGACCTCCAGGTAAAACCAGCCCTTTGAGGGCGGTCATGATGCGTTTGTGGCCTCAGTGAAAATGAGAGCGACACTAATGCTCTACATGTTGTTTGTCAAACCCTGTTCAGGGTTATAGAAGCACTAAGTCTATTCCAGCTGTGCTCATCCACTTCATTCTTACAGTTAGACTTTCAGAAAAGACATTATTTACCGTGTTGAAATGACCACAAGGACGTTATAGCTTTAGTTACTGCTGCTGTCATTTTCAACGAAGGAAATTATGACCCAAATGGATTCAAATAATAGGAACTTTAGAACAACTACTCCACCTTGTCCAGTAAAAGTGCAACTGATTCATCTAAAACAAGTTCATTCATTCATGTAAAACAGATTGTACATAATCACTTATCTGGAAAAGGTCTTTTAGTCTGAAATTCAGTGGAAGCAAACAAACAGCTGAGCCAAACTTGGGCTTGGATCTCCTCTGTCTTCCGCAGGTCTTTGAGGGCAGGCCTGTGGCCCCTCATCAAATCAAGTCAAACTTTATTTATAAAGCACTTTTCATACAGAAAATGTAACTGTAAGTGCTTTACAGATTAAAAAGACCCCACATATCCCACAAATGTCATTGACAATTAAACCACCCCTCCCCCCAACCCAGGGACACGCACATACACACACAACACAATTGAGAAAAAAAGTAAACAGTGGGCTGAGGTCAGATGAGTTAGGTACGTAAGGAAACGAAGGGAAACACCATCAGGGGGAGCCGTCTGCACCAAAAGCAGCAGATCCACGGCAGCAGCCAGGACACCGTCACAGGGTGCCTGATGACACCTCCAAGAGGTGGTATATAGAGGTTAAAAAGCACTGGGCTTAAAATTGAACCCTGGGGCACACCACATGCAATCCCATGGACCCTGGAGGAACAGGTATCTAGACTCCCCATAAAAGTCCTGCCTGTGAGGTAAGATGTGAACCATCTGTGAACGGCATCAGAGAGGCCGATCTGTTTTAAACAAGTTAAAAGAATAGTGTGGTCTACAACATCGAAAGCAGCACTTAGATTCAGGAGAACCAAACACTGTCACCCTCTGGGGGAGGCCAGAGGATAACTAAATGAACACAGGAGACACATAAATGAGATGCGGACAAAGGACACATGAGGGCGCTATAAGACACAAAAGGAGAGCCTGGAGTGGGAACTGGAGGGGTTGGGGAACAAAGGGACACAGAACATGACACTAAATACATATGAAATGAAATAAACCAGCTTCTGTCTATGAATGTAATGTACTCTAAATTTTATAATCCCTGAATCATCTATATAATTATAAGATTGTTTGTTTTTAAGATCAAATATAAAGAAATTAAATATGATTCAACTGGAGGGGCAAAAGTGGTACAATTCAATAAAAAGATAAAGCCCAAAATATATAAAAAATTATTAAAAAATAAAATGTATGGATTGTGTCAATACAAATATTTTATTCATTAAAAAAACATATGTAATTATTTCATGATTGAATTCATTATTTCATGGTCTGTTCATAAATATTTCTTTCTGTCAACCTCACCCATAAATCTTTGTGGGTGGAGCTAATTCTGAAAACAAACACGGCAGCTCCCTTTACTTAACCTAACAGATAAAACAGAAGTAGCTGACCCAAAATCTGTGGTAAAACAGGAATTTAATGAGGAATTTCCACACTGTTAGATCAAGATTTTGACAGTAGTGCTTCATCAATACAGGGTGATATGTAGGAATGTGTAACTGTTTCTCCACTTCTCTAAATCATACTGCCGTTACAGCCATCAGGGTGTTTTCCCTAATAAAGCATAAAAATATGAACTCACAATAATAAAAATCTCTAACACAAGAGAAACTATGTGATACTGAGCCAACCAGATGCATTTACCTGCCAGTGTACTTAATAACAAGATCTTCTTTTTAGCAGTTTTCTTAAAACACTTTACCTTGAACTACAGAGAAATTTTAAATAAAACATTTTCATCATAAACTAAACCATAATGCATAATTGATTACACTGGTAGCCTTTTTCACAACTAATACAATCATATAGGTACCCATACACGTTCCGTTTTCATAACAACATTCTGAATTATAGTTACAAACCTTGTTCCCCTTATCAACTGAAGCTAGACAGAAGTATTCTTCAAACTTTCTGTGTCTTCTTCTCTGTGAACTGTTAATAGTCTACCCTTTGCTCCGTCTTTACTTCTAATAGATTTACGTTTGCTTCTACTGTGTTGCGCCTCCCTACCATCGACATACATATGACGCTGTCAAAATAAAAGCCTGTACACCTTTGCTGTTGTTAAACATGAAGAAATAGTTCACCTTTACATTCACCTTTACAACTCATAACTGGCAACCTTTTGAGTTGTAAAGAAAAGGAAAATGATTATAGGACAGTAATGAAATTTGAATCTGAAAGTGGAACTGCGCTGCTCTGGGTGGCTGCATGTTGGAGTAGCTCTGTTGACTATATGTAAGTTTTGCCTTTTTTTGGACATTTTTTCTTCTAGTTTCTCAAGAAAAACAGTATTTTTTGGACTTTTTGCTTTTCTGTTTCTGGTGCTGTGAAGCTTAGAGGATTTTACTGCTATTCTTTCACTTTTTGAGCATTTGTTATGATGCGTAACACTTATGTTGGACACTTATGTTGTGTAATGTCTGAAGTCTGTTGCATTTCTGTCTGAGGTGTTTTTTGCATAGCAAAGCTGCCCTCCCTGTGGAGGGTAACTCTGACGTGCCTTTTTTTCCTCCACCTGTCTCAATCCTCATATAGAAACCCCTCTGATCTCTATTAGGGTAGCGCGACTCGGGTTGCAAATGACCACAGTCACCAATTCTTGTCATGTGTCTATGCCTATGTATGTATGTTTGACCTCAGATTGTGTGTACTGAAACTCTAATTTCCCTCTGGGATTAATAAAGTATCTTTGAATTGAATTGAATTTGGATTCATTTTCAATACGATGAGGAAGAAAGTGAAAAAAGTGATTTTCTTAAGTCTAAACAGGTCCAGCTTGGGTAATCTACCCATAATAATATGCCACACCTCCCACGGCTGAGCGGGCTGTTTTAATGTGTAATTTTAGGGGTGCATGCTGTCGTTCGAGCTGCATAAGAAAAACTAGACAATTCCTGAAAACATAATAAAAAGGGTCCTGCCACCTGGCACAAGACAGTGCTAACGCAAATCTAAAAAAGCCACACACTCAACGTTTGAAAGGATAACTCAATCTGCCCAAATTTCAGACATTTTCCGAAGTTTTTTGCTAATAACTTTGCCGTGGTAAATCAAATTGTGTACAAAAGTTACAGCCTACCTCCCACCGACGAGCTGCTTGTTTTGATGTATAATTTTTGGGTGTGCATGCTGCCATTCGAACCACATTAACGTCCGCGGATGTCATGAGCCGGGGTGAATGTTCTTCTGCAACAAACCATCTCTGAGCTTGCTTCCAGGTGGGGGAGATGGCGAGTCACCAGCTGTGCTGGATCTCCAATCAACGGGTCTGGTTTAAGAGGAGGACGGAGGACGCTCACTACTACTCTGAGCCTGAGATCAGTGGACTCAGTGGTCTCCTTTAAAAAGCAGCTGAAGACTCACTTGTTCAAGCTGGCTTTTGTATGACCTTCTTCACCTCTCTCTCTTTATTCTGCTCTCCCCACCTATTCCACCTTCCTCAGGATCCACTGGTTTCCCTCTTTCCTGTTCACTCTCTCTCTTTCTTTACATTCTTTCTTTTAAATCCCAATTGCCTATTTTTGCCCATTTTAAATATATTTTTAAACACTTTCTAAATGCTTTTTTATATTTTTACATTTTTTGTTTTTGTGAAGCGCCTCGTGATTTTTATCTTGAGAGGCGCTATAGAAGTTAGTTTGTTGAAGACTGATGCTCTGTTTAAACCAGAGCGCCTGGAGTAAACCCACGCATACTTGAAGGACAAGATGCTACCAAGCAAGGTTCCTGCCAGGATTTGAACTAGGAACCTCACTGCAAGACTAAAGTGTCAATCTTTCCATCATGCATCCACAATCTTTTCTGTGTCTTTGAGTGCTCTAAGATGGAGGGAGGGGGTACTGTGCATCCTCAGTAACTCCCATCCAGAAACCATCGTCTGATTTTGCTCCACAGACGGTTCTGTCCTCTACACCAATAGATGGAAACACGCAGGGCTTCTTCAATTGAACCATATTTGTCCTCTGACCTGTAAATGACTTGTCATTATTCAGTTTAATAACTACCTCATGTGAAGATGAGGGCCCGTTGAGATCAATGATTCTCCTCTTAGCCAACAGATTTCTACTCTGAGCAGCCATAGCTTTATGCAATTTGCCTCTCAGTTCCTCAATTTCTGTCTTCTGTTCCGTGATCTTTTTCATAAAATTCTTGCTTTCTAACTCCAGGTTTAAACGACCAACAGTATATTTATTCTTGCCTTTTTCATTCATACCATTTAGCAGCGTTTTCACGTGCATTGCTACTGATTTCAAGCCATTTTTAGAGAATTCTTCAGCTAGCTGGTCAAGTTTTCCCTGAACTTCCATTTTCTCTCTGGGTAACAGTTTGATTTCAGATTCAAGTTCCTGAGTTTTCTTTGTTAAATCGCTAATTTCGTCTTTTGCGTTCTGTAGTTCTGTCGCTGTTATTTCAAGCTCCTTGGTAATTTGCTCATTCTCCATTTCTTTAGTTGCTAAGATGCTTGACTGTTGGGCATCTTTATTCCGAGCTGACGACAGTTGCTGCTCTGTGTTTTCTAACTGCATCTTAACTTCCTTCAGCTGGCAAGACAGGGACGATGTCGCCTTGACTAAAGACTCTTTCTCTGTTGAAAGCAGTGCGTTGGCATCTGTAAGTACACTAATCTTCTGTTCCAAACAGTGAATTTGATCCTGAGCTTTAAACAGATTATTTCCATATTCAGTTTTTAGACTTTCAGAAAGTGCGGTTTCATTTAGTTGGAGTTTTGCTCTCGTCTTCCATTTCTTTATTTTGCTATCCTTCAGTTCAATTTGTTCCTTTTTCTCTCGTTCAACATCACATCGTTTACTGACAGCATTGCGTAATTTAAAATTTAGATTTTGGATATCTTTGGCATTTTTGTCAAGAAGAATGCGTGTGTATTCTAATTCTTTAGCAAGCTTTTCCTTTTCCTGAGTAATTTCAAAGTATTTCTCTGGCCACTCATCATTTTTCTTTTTCAGCTGTGTCTTTATTGATAGTAACGTTTTCTTATCTGCTTCTAAACGTGTTACATATGTAGACTTTTTTTTAGCATCAGCTTTCAGTTGGTCGATGTGGCCCATTAATTCTTTAATCTTATTTTTTAACGGAACTTCAACCTTTGTCCTGATGGTCGTTTCCACTTCTTCATGTTCAGCTTTTAAGTTTTCAAATTTCTTTTTCAAGTCTGTTCTTCTAATTATTTCGTCATCCAGTGAACGTTTCAATGTATCATTTTCTTTTGATAACGACTCATTTAAAGCTTGAAGTTTTTCATTTTCTTTAGAAAACTCTTCGTTTTGTAATTTTAATTCAGTGTTTGTTTGCACTGAATTGTTTAGTTTTTCCTCAATGGACTTTTGGATTGACGTTTGCTTTTCCAAGTCTTTTTCAAGCCTTTGTTTGACATGTTTGTATTCCTTCTTCAAGGACTCCAGGCATTTCTCGGTTTCTTCTAGTTTTGCCGTACTTTCTGTCAGCCGAAGCACTGCATTAGACCGCTGACTTGTCTGCTTTCTTACTTCCCTTTGAAATCTGGTATTTTTCTTTGTTAAATCGTCCAACTGGTTTTTCCACCCAGTTTCTTTTTCAGAGAAAACTTCTTGTAAATTCTTAACTTCTGATGTCAGTTCATTGACTTTGGCTAAGAGTAACATCTCGTTGGCCTTAGTCTGGTCTAATTTAAACTTCAACTCTGTAAGATTCAGCTCATGAGGCGTTTTACCTGATGACTTAAGCAGTGGTAAGCGGTTCCTGTAGAGAGCTGCGATGTAATCCATTTCGTACAACGACCTTAACAGACTGAGGTCTTTTTCCTGATGACGCAACAAAGTAATGCGATAGCTCTTTGAAGACGTCACGCTTACGTACGTACGTCCGCGCACGTGCGTGGCGGGGGGGGGGAGGGGGGGAGGGGTGGAACTGCAAGTAGCAGCTGTTTGCATCAGCGGGGTTGTTGTTTCCGCATCACGTGACCTGGACGAGCCTTTTGTTTACGTTTTAATCCGTGGTTATTGTGTGTGTGTGTGTGTGTGTGTGAGCGCGCGCGAGTCGGGTAGCAACAGAGAAGTGGACATGAGTAACTTCAGAAGTGAAAGTGTAAGTCAGAGGAACTCACGCACCTGCAGACCTTCTACCTCCGACTAAAACAAACTCAGGCCGACTTTTTCTATCTTTTCATTAATAGTTATTAGTGGACTCCTTCAAAAAGCAGCTGAAAACTGTTCAACCTGGCTTTTGCTCGACCTTCAAGTGACATATGTAGATTTTAACTTTGACTTTGTAGAGATATGGGTCTCTGTGAGTTTGCTTCTGCTGGGAAGTTTATATTTTGCGTCAATAACCCTCACCAACAGCTGAAAATCATGAGTCTCCACTAAGGGCAGAGGCTGGAGGTCCTTCACTACCATCTTGTGAGTGTTAATGCTAAATACACAAGGAACATAAAACGATGGAGGCGCATGTTATTAAATGCTCCATCTTTCATAGATGAACATTGAGGAGAAAGGTAATGAGAGTTTACGCACCTGTTTTATATCGAATGCTTCGACTTGAATTAAAATTGCCAACACATTATATTATTAAATACATTTGTTTTTATCTACATTGTAAAATGTTCAGTTAACCACCAGTCAAAATATGTCAGCTAACTGAGAATAAAACAATGCAAGTTTGTGAAATTAGTTATTTAAATGGAAAAACGTAATTGATCTGTCGAATTAATGGAATATTTTCTACATTTTTGAAGTCAATCATTATTTTTTTAAATACTGTACATTTACATAATAATTATTTAACAAACTTTACAAATTAATTGGTATGATATGGAATGGTATCTACTGTCACCTGACTAAATATAGGCTTATTCAATGTTTGGGATTTCAGGGGCTGATGATACTTAAGCTCAAATTCATATAGGCAAACACACACACTCTCAACTTTCTCCTTCATTAACTGAATTGTAATTTTTCAACTGAAGGCCAGTTGCAGAAAACAGAAAGCTGCTGAGCTGAAGCAAGATGACATCTTGTTGCAAATGAAAGACAAAGATTGTGTCTTTGGAGGCGAGATCATCCAGAAGCTGTCAGTACACCAGCTTCTGGAGCAGATATACATTTGGAGTACTTATTATTATGATTTTATATTCATAATGAAACATTGTGTGTTTGATTAAGCAATCAATGTTTTTTCTGTCTTGTTTTTGTTTTCAGAAATGAGCCCAACTCTGGCATCCGCTACAAGATGTTCAGTGGGAGGATCCTCCACCAGAGGGTAATTGTGAGGCAAGAGGAGCTGAGAGGGAACCAGCTAAACTACAGGTAACCAAACTGATGACAGGATGCGTGAGTACTTTGCACTAAAGTATCCCTCTCAAAATATTGCATATTTCTCTGCATCACAGAGGAAATGTGGAGACACGAACCGAAGCTTAACCAAGGAGCATTTCTTTAGACGTGTTTCTGCTGCGACTGAGGCCTGTGATGCTGGAAGGCTGAAGATTATCCCGGAGTGGAGCGTGCTAAATGGTTTCCTTGGTAACTGTTGCTGGTTTTATTCATTTTTATTTTTAAATATTTTTATTAATGTTCAAATAACAAAACTAACAATAAGTTCACACTCAGAAAATAGACACAGAATTTCTGATTCAGCAGAGGCAACAACAGCCTGAATGAGCATAAAGCAAGATCAAAAATAATGTTTTCATTTTATTAAAATACTTTCTTTTAAGATTATAGATTGTATAAAATTCATACTGTAATCATTTAAGCTGCGTGTTTATAGTTGGTTTTTGCGCCTTTAAAACATGCTTCAGTCCATTCAAATGAATCTATTTCTTCTTGAATGTCTTTCCACCATCATGGGATTAATTTGTCATCATTTATAAATGCTGTAAGCTATTGTATTTAGCAGAAAATCTTTTTAATTAAATGTGTTGATTAAATGTAAACAGAGCAAATAAGATGAATATATTTGCTCTGTTTACAGAGTATAATGACACCTAGTGGTTATTTACTGGTACCGCCTTGACATTGGCACTCCCAATGGATAAGATGAGGATCATTTATTAGCATTTAACACAGCTGTGTAATGACGTATAATTCATATCAAAAATTGTCTGATAGAATGTTTTACATACAAACAACCAATTTGTAACCAACGACTAGGCTACGTAAAATGTGAATGAACTTTTATAAGTAACTTTGGTAAGTTTCAGATTTCAATTCATTAAATAACATCGATGGAGGGGGGGGGGGCATAAAATGCAGCCTGCCTAGTGTAGTCCATTTATTTAATCCGGCTCTGGATTTGACCCACGATAACCCAGTACCAGGGTGAACACTAGGCCACTGAGAAGGTTGACTAATCCTGTACTAGTCTTTAGATGCTTTCCCTTGGCTTTCTGTCCTTTTTTCTCCACATTTCAACTACAATTCGGAATCTGGGAATCAGAAAAAGAATTCTTTCTCCCCACATTTTATGTACCGACTGTCCCTCATAAGCAGTTTAGCATTTTTCGTCTCCAGAATTGTTTCAACATTTTGTTCAGTCTGACAATCTGTGGACGTCTACTCTCATGTAGAAAGTAAAAAACAACGATGAAACGTGTTTTCATTTAAATTAGCCATGACCTCTCAGTTGATTCATGACCTTTTCCTGCAGAAGTAATAAACTTTCCGAATCTGACGCCATGGCAGCCTTGTGAATGCCAACAACAAACCCCCACGAAGGAATGCAGACAGATGCTGTGAAAACCCGACCTACCCCCCCGCCCCGCCTTCGGATTGGTGGACTTCAGCCTGGCGAGGTCATCAACCTGCAGGTGTCAATGTGCTCTGCGCTCCTCCCAAGATCTCCCTCCCACCTGTGGCTACAGTGGCTGAGCGCCATGGGGATGCTCTCGCTGGGGAAGCAGGATGCCAGCCCCCCCCTCGGTGTCTCATGTTGTGAATTGTTGATGTTTGTGCTTATATGTTCGAGGCGTTTTTTTTTTTTTTGCATAGTAAAGCTACGCCCTGCCGGGAGTAACTCTGGTATGCCTTTTGTTTCCCTCCCCCAATTTATCCTCTTGTAATCCCATTTTCATCTTATTAACGGTAGCGCGACTCTTGTTGCGAATGACCACAGCACCAATTCTTCTGTACTGAAACAATTGCCCCTCGGGGATGATTAAAGTTTTTTTTTGATTGAATTGAATCCAGTAACACTATGCCTCCATTTCTTGTCGTACATTTTTCAGATCTTTATTTTACCGTTTACCTTTTTAGTCTCTTCAAACACTTTTCAACATTCAACTCTAAAATCAATGCTGAATAGAGTGAAAATGCACGACCAGAACAAATATTTTATTATGAGCAGATATGAACATACAGAACTTTGGTTGATGAACCCGCCAGGTTTCAGAAAATAGAGTTAATTAAACGTCACGTACCTTTCCAAAAGAAACAAAAATTTATTTTCTTACCAAGAGATGGTTAAGAGCATTTCAGATCTTGCCAAAATGTCTGGCGTTTTACGTTTCTCTCACAAAACATAGTTAAGGAACTCAAATCTCAGGAACATTTATTGTCTCCTGACGTTTGCAGCATTTGTGTTTCAGGGGAATACCAGCAAAGCCAACCCATGAGGTTAACTGGTGCCCCACCAAAAGAGTTGGTAGACATATCTGGAAAAGTCCGACTCTTCCTCTCCTCAGTTCCGTTCAGGAATGAGCAACAGAAATGTAAAAAGTGTATGAAATAAAAAGATTTCAGTAGAGCTAAAGAACCCTACGTATTTATCAAGGACCAGGTCATCAGGTCAGATCCGAGGGATCTTTGTTCCTCCTCCTCCGTGAGGACCTGGAGGGGTCTGTCTCGCTTCCTCCTGCTGTGGTTGTAGCAGAAGGGCAAGAAAATCCACAACAGCAGTTCCTGAACAAAGTGTTTCCCAAGGAGGACAAATATGAAAACACAACAAATAAAAACGGAAGAAGAAGCAGTTAAACATGCGTGGTCATAGAAATGTGTCTTTAGCATTGTGTTACGTTACTCAGAGTCCGAGCTGCTCCAACATTCACCGGGAGACTTTTCCACGATCCCAGCCTTGCCACCCTGACCCTAACCATCCCGCTGAATCCATCAGAGGGTCGGCGCTCCGGCTGCTTTGACAATCTTATGAGACAATCTTAGGAGAAACTCCTGCACCAATAAAATAGGCTTTGTGAATTTTTTACTGAGTGGTTCAAAGCCGTGGGACCTAGGGGTGGTGAAGCAACCCCCCCCCCCCCCCCCCCGCCCCCCCAAACGTGCATGTTGAATTTAGATTTGGTTCTGAGCTGAATTGAACACAATTACACATGGAATTATTCATATTTGGTTGTATTTTCTACGTCACACACACACACTTAGCTATGTTGTACACATAAAGGTACTCATCCGTAGTTCACCTGATTGTCTATTTGCTTCTTGACTTGTTGTGGGGCTCGAATAGCCGGTCCGTTGTCTGGAATCCGTTTTGTGTCTACTCGGATGTTTCTGGGAGATTTAACTCAGAGTCACTGCTTTCGAGTCCTGAGTAGACAGCCATGTTGAATATTTGTTACTAAATATGGCTGCCACATTGGTCCAAACTGATCACATGACCAACAATTCACTAATTTCTCATCATGCCCATAACCAACTACTCCCGCTTTAAAGCACGACCGTAAAAGGAAGATATTTCGCATTTCAGTTGAATGTGAAGGAACTATTTTATGAAGCACACGGTACGTATATCAAGAGGTCGGAACGGAATCACACGACACCAGGGTTCACCTTACGACCGGGCATTTACGTAGAAACAGACGGGAATTTAACAGAACGGCGAGGCTTGCACACCTCGAATGCACCTGCATGGAGATAATGTGGGACAGCTGGAGAGTGGACATGACGCAGCGCTTCATCAGCGCCAACCCGGAGCACAGGAACACTTGTGTGTCATCATAAAAGTACGACAGACTTTGTTTATTGCTCTTTGTTCACCCTGTGTGGCGAAGATGATGGCTTGTGTTCACGTTTACATACTGTACACGTGTCAGAGTGAATGTTCCATTCAGCTTTTTGTTTTCCAAGTTACATTTAAGGAGATGTTCTTGAAGAGTGTGGTGCTGAGAAACATTTAGATGCCAGATGTGTGAAGAGCCTGCGCAGCATCTGTCACTTCCTTCTCGTGTGTGAAGAGGTGGGGTGCTGCAGGGTGTGGATTCTGGTGGCAATAAGCTGCTATACAAAGCTACTACATATACCTATATAAACATGTTAAACGTGTGTGTGGCCATGGACGTAATTTTCACTTTAGAAGTGGGGGGGACACGGGGGGGGGGGGGTTATCTTTACAGTATGCTCTAATGGGAAACAGGCTTCAACACAAACGGTTGTTTTCCGCTTGGTCCTAGAGCTCAACCAGTGTCATTTTAATATAGCGTAATATTGTTTTTGGATGGTAAAAAGTGCAGGGGTCAAAACTTGACTTTGGAAAAAGTGGGGGGGGACATGTCCCCCCTGTCTCCTCCCAAAATTACGTCCATGTGTGTGGCTGATCACAGCACCGCCATGGGAAAGTATGCTCCCATGGCACTGGTTTGCTCGTCTGGGAATCGTCTTCCTGCAGGTTTCCTGATGGATCCAACCCTGAACGACACACCCAGCCCGTACCCCTGACGTGCCATGGGTTCTCCACGTAACGGGTTCATCTGAAGGACCAACCACCCAAACAGAAGCTGGGTGGTAGTTTCATGTAGGCAGTTCAGAGCAGCATGGCAGGCTCGGAGCTTTGTGTGGGGGAGAAACCAGTCAACCAGTCCAGAACCATCAGCTCAAGAGCTCCACCTGAAGGATTTGGGACACTCGTCTGAGGACGGCAGAAGAAAACCAACAGCCTGAGAGAAGACTGAATGAGTCCATCTTTGTCAGTGAAAACCTGAATAAACTGGAGGAAGTCATGATTCTAGTCCTGACAGCCTTCAGGAATGAGACCAAAACCACCCGCATGTGGTCCCGGACAGAAAGACCCTCAGGGGGAGGAGTTTTCTTAGTCATCTCAAACGTAGTTTGTTCTGTGTGAACCAACCAGGATCAGGAGCCAGGACGGCCACAAGAGAGCGCTCAAAACAAAAGAAACCGACAACAAATCACCGAGCACGGTTCCTGTAACCACAGCAACTATTCATACAGAAAACATTTGTATTAATGTCAATACTGTTCTGTTTCTGTGTTGCAGCTACTGAAAACGTACAATAAAAAGACAAAACTGTGATCAGTGCATTGTGAGTAGTGCAGGTTTCCACTCCACTCGTCTTCGGATCAACGTTCCAATCTGTTTCCGCTCTGATCTCATCGGCTAAAGCGATGAAATGGTGTTTCCTCTGACATCCATCAGGCGATTCGGTGCTTTATCCTGATAGATACGTTTTATAATCCAGAGGCGGAGGACAAAACAAAGTCTGTAGCAGATTCATCCAAATCCGAAATGATGTAAACAGAATCAACCATGAAAGTTCACCAAGGCGATGCCATCATGTGACTGCTTCTCAAACACGAGTCGTTGCTCTGACGATGACAGAAAACGATTCTGCTTTACTAGAGGAGGAACGTACGTGCAACATGTCACCTGTGTGTGTTAGAGGACATGTAAAGAAAATGCATCGCTGCAGAACACGGGAAGTGCTGCTGGGAGGAAAAGCTTTGATGATGAGGATGTAGGAAGCTGAAACTCGAGACGGTTCAGGTGGAAGGAAAAACCAAATCAGACTCGGAACGTGAGCATGGTAACTTCACAGCAGGCCAAGGTTTTCAGTCCTCCAGGTCATTGTAACCCCACTGGGTCCAAATGAAGCTTTGATTGGACCAACTGGGCTTCACAGCGGGCAGCTTGTTATTGGTTGGAAATTGGGAACAATGCAAGCAGACCAACGTAGAAGCAGGGAGACACGTCATATTGTTTTTCACATCTCAATCTGGGCTTCTTTGTCTGGTGCTGGGTCCTTAAACGAGCCAGAGATGGCGAAGAACCTGAAAGAACACGGGAGGACAAGAGGACAGCGTCACCTTCAACGACTCAATATTACCTCATCAAATACAAACTCTTTCAAGGTGACTTTTCCAGAAGCCTCCGCCAGTGATCATCATCATCAACTTTATGACCAGACTCAGGATCCACATTTAAGAACAAATAAACACAAAAACAAATAAAGCTGTGCAAAAATGACAAAAGACGTGCATGCCAGTGTCTCCACACACGACTGGTGAGGCACTGCACTAAAACTGGGATCCACCAGCATCCGGACAAGCCTGTTCCCTCTTCAACTGCAGGATTAACTTGTAGATTAAATTTCTCAACAAAGCTTGGAAAGTCCAGACGTGAGAATTACAAAATAAAAGACTCGCACTTCAGGACCGAGGCTTCCCTAGCAGAGTCCTAAATACATCATTATAACCTTCTTTAAGCGTATGCAAGTTGGCTTTCTTCTACTTACACCACAAAGGTGCAGTAGGTTTTAAAATGATTAATAAACATTTATAAACACCATTTTCACTCTTTAACCCCCCTAAAATTGTAGTGACAAAGTTCAATATTAAACGACAGAAATTATCTTGTTTTATCAATTTCCATTATACTTACAAAGGAGTAACTAAGTTTTAAATGTTTAACTCTAAACAAACAGGTGAAGAGATCTGATTAACAGTTTGGGAACAAACTGGATAGATTTGTTTTTTTCTCACCCTTAATTACATTTATAAATATACGTGAAATAAAAAATCGAGAGGTGCGTCACAAAAACAAAAAAATTAAAATATAAAAAGAATGAAAAAATATATATTTAAATTTACAAAAAAAGTGATTAAAATTGTAAGTAAATTAATAAGAAAGAGAGAAATCAGTGGACCATGGGAAATGCGGAATAGGTAGAAAGAGCAGAATAAGGAGAAGGTGATGAAGGTCCCACCAAACCTGAGCAGGTGAGTTTAAAGGAGACCACTGAGTCCACTGATCTCAGGCTCAGGGGGAGAGAGGTCCAGAGTCTGGGGGCCACAGCAGCAGATGATCTGTCACCTTTGGTCTTTAGCCTGGTGCTGCACAACCAGTAGGCTTTGGTCACTGGACCTCAGGGACCTGCTGGGGGTGTAGGGACTAAGAAGATCACCAATGTAAGATGGTGCTTGTCCATGTAGGGCCCTATAGACCAGAACCAGGATCTTGAAATGAACCCTGAAGTTGACTGGCAGCCAGTGAAGCTGGAGGAGAAGCGGGGTGATGTGGGTGTGTTTGGAGGACTTGGTCAGAAGCCGAGCACAGGCGTTCTGAACCACCTGTAGACGGTTCAGGGAGGTTCTGCTCAGACACGTGAAAAGAGAGTTACAGTAGTCTAAGCGTGAGGAGATGAAGGTGTGGAGAACTGTCTCAAGTTCAGAGCGGGACAGAATGGGACTCAGCTTAGCAATGTTCCTGAGATGGAAGAAGGAAGAGCCAACAAGAGAACTGACATGAGAATCCAGGGTGAGAGCTGGGTCAAAGGTCACGCCAACATTCCTGACAGAAGGTTTGGTGTGAGAAGCAAGCTGACCAAGAGAGTCTCTGACTTTGGGAACCAGCTTGTCTGGGGCACAGATGAGGATCTCAGTCTTGTCTTCATTCAGCTGAAGAAAGCTCCCACCATCCAGGTTTTGATAGAGTCTAAGCAGGTGTGTAACAGCTGCAGCTTAGACATCTCATGGGGCTTAAAGGAGATGTACAGTTGGATGTCATCTGCGTAAAGATGGTAGGAGATTCCTTTGAAGGAGCTCAGGACGTGCTGAAGAGGAAGCAGATGGAGGAGGAAGAGCAGAGGCCCCAGCACAGAACCTTGTGGGACACCATGGGTAAGAGAGGTGGTGGAGGACCTAAACTTGGAGACGGCCGCAGAAAAGGAGCGCTCAGAGAGATAAGAGGAGAACTACTCCAGAGCAGTTCCTGATAGGCCTACCCAGTCTCTCAGCCTCTCCAGTAGCAGGTGATGGTCAACAATTCAATTCCATTCAATTCAAGTTTATTTATATAGAGCCAAATCATGACAAGAGTCGTCTCAAAGCACTTCACATAATAAACATTCCAATTCAGGTCAGTTCATTAAGCCAATCAGAAAAAATGTTTCCTATATAAGGAACCCAGCAAATTGCTGTAAAGTCACTGACTAGTGTCAGTGACTTTACAGCAATCCTCATACTAAGCAAGCATATAGCGACACTGGAGAGGAAAACTCCCTTTTAACAGGAAGAAACCTCCAGAGAATCCTGGCTCAGTATAAGCAGCCATCCACCACGACTCACTGGGGATGGAGAAGACAGAGCACACACAGCGTCAAAGGCTGCAGTCAGGTCCAGCAGGACCAGAACAGAACAGTCCCCTGCATCACTGTGAGTCAGAAGGTCATTAGAGACCCAAAGAAGAGCTGTTTCAGTAGAATGAGCTCTACGAAAACCTGACTGGAAGCTATCATAGATGTTATGTTCATCAAGAGCAGCTGTGAGTTGTTTAGCCACAACCTTTTCCAAGATCTTGGAGATGAACGGAAGTTTAGAGATGGGTCTGAAGCTGCTATGGAGAGAGGGGTCGAGACTCGGTTTTTTAAGAAGTGGGTGGATTACAGCGTTCTTAAAGTAAACAGGGACCTGACCAGAAACCAGAGAAGCATTAATTATAGAGAGCACGCTGGGACCGATGGACTGAAAAGCACTTTTAAACAAAGATGAGGGTAAGATGTGGAGGGGGCATGCAGAGGTCTTCGTAGAGGTTCCCAGAATATCTAAAAATCAGATGAAAGGCAGATCTTTTAGCTATCAGGCTCCTCTCCTGTGGAACCAGCTCCCAGCTTTAGTCCGTGAGGCAGACACCTTGTCTACTTTTAAGACTAGGCTTAAAACATTTTTATTTGGTAGGGCTTATGGTTAAAATCTGATGGTAGCCTAGATCTGGACAAGTGGGGGAGCAGAGGGAGGTGGAGTGTACAGTCGGTAAAGACAATGAGAGAAAGCAACTCAAACCAAAATTGCAGACACTGAAAAATGAGCTGGTGTAGATGGGGTTTGTTTTTCACATGTTCATGCTTGTTCATTAATCTTTGAATGGCTTCAAGTCAATAGTTTTATACGTCCAGGTTCTCAGTCTTCTAAAACAGCAATATACAGAAAGCTAATAAAAAAAAACATTTCAAATACTTGACAGTTTTGTGATAGACTTTTAAGGTAAACTGGGAGGCCACAAGTATCTTTGCAGATTCTTTTTTACATATGTTTATATTGACTTCATCTATTGCATTCTTACAGTATTCAAGAAGACTAATCACTGTTCCTCTACGATATATTTGTATTTATTATAGGTTCATGTCAGTAAGTTTCAAAGTTAAATAGTAACTGATGATCAGTCCATTTGTAATCATTACGTTTTATTGTCAGATGAGATCTTTCCATTTTGCCATTGCGGTTTGGCCCCAGCAGTTGAGGAGACACTAATCTTTAAGCAAACTGTTGTACAATAACAGCATTGAAATTTAATGTTGTATTCCTACAGTATGTGTTAATAGTGCTTGATGAGATCCTTGTAGTTAAGCTTTGTTTGCATTTTCCTTAGGTGCATGTCAATAAATCTGGATATTCTTAATTAAAATTTAGGTCATGATGGTTAATGTCAACTAATAATACTGGAATTATTCTCACGCAACATTTTATGTACACACAGTGTAAAAAAGCATTTAGCAAATTGGAAAAAAGTGTGCAGTTGTAATCATTCAGTGTTTTCTGCAGTTCAAGTTAATAAAACTGAATGGAAAAAACCTGAGTTTGTTGTTGTGTTAATACTACTAATACGGTTTGGTGCAATCGGTTTCCTCAATAGAACTGACTAACTGTAATAGAGTTTTAAGTTATTCAACTAAGAACCATTTAAGTTCATTTAACTCAATCGGATTATGAAAGATGAATGCATATTTAATAAGTTAAAATATATACGGCATTTTAGTGCCACATATTTAAAGGTTTAAGTTGACTATACAAAATAAAAATAGTTAATAAACAAACATTTTCATAAACATTTGTTAACTTTTCATAATTGTTTTTAATTAATTTGACCCTACTCGCATAATTAAATCAACTCAAATAGTTTGAGTGACAAAACTTAAATCAATTTGTGCAATTGGTTTCCCAAATTATTTGAGTTAACTTATCAGGTTTTACAGTGTATGTTGTAAATTAGGCTAAACTCCAAAATAGAGAGAAAACACTAATCTCTTTGTTGCACTGATAGTAACAACTTTAACTGTAAGTATTAAAAGATAATGAAATAAAACTTGAATCCGAAAAGATGTTAATTTACAATTCATGTTACACATAAAGCCAACTGTTTCATTCATTCCGACTCCTTGTGGTGTTGAGATTTGAGGCCAAACACGGCTTTTTCAAAAGAGTTGTGCTTGACGTCCACAGCTTCAAGAATAATTTGGTCACTCTTTGAACCCAGCATCAGTTTTTGATGGCCCACTAAGTGGTCCTACCCTCTTTCCACCGTCATTGTCAGTGCAGAACATGAAAACTGTAAATGTGAATGTTTTGGAAGTCTCACAAATGAATGCTGTTCAGAAGTATCCTCAAATTCAGCCTTTGTCTCTTGCCTCCAATGTACATGTTTATGTAACTTTGGACAATGACCCAAAACACACCAGCAAATCCACCTCTGAATGGCTGAAGAACAACAAAATGAAGACTTAGGAGTGGCCTAGTCAAAGTCCTGACCTGAACCCTACTGAGATGCTATGGCACGACCTTAAAAAGGTGGTTCATGCTAGAAAACCCTCAAATAAAGCTGAATTACAACAATTCTGCAAAGATGAGTGGGCCAAAATTCCTCCAGAGCGCCGTAAAAGACTCGTAGCAAGTTATCGCAAACGCTTGATTGCAGTTATTGCTGCTAAGGGAGGCCCAACCACTTATTGGGTTCAGGGGGCAATTACTTTTACACACAGGGCAATGTAGGTTTGGATTTAGTTCTCTCCCTAAATAATAAAAACCATCATTTCAATACTGCATTTTGTGTTTACTTGTGTTGTCTTTGACTAATGGCTAAATATGTTTGATGATCAGAAACATTTTGTGTGACAAAATGCAAAAGAATAAGAAATCAGGAAGGGGACAAATAGTTTTTCACACCACTGTAGTTACAAATATTTTGTCAAAATTAAAAAATAATTCCTAAGTTCTTTCATATAGAGAGCCTAAGTCTCCCTCCTTCCGGTCGGCTCATGGGTCCTCGGAAGAACAAAACAATGAATGCAAGTCAACGGGGCTAAAAAAGCTGTTTTCTAATAAACTTAGCGTTAAGGTTGGTTTATGCTTGACGCGTCCGCGAGTCCGCAAGGCTCCGCGCGGAAAAGTTGCGTCATTTTGCGTCATTTTAACAACCACGCCCCTCCACCGCGTCTCCGCACGGCCCAAGATTTCCGCAACGCGCACCTCGGAAAATTTCTAACCACGCGGACGGTCGGACGCGGAAAAACATGGCGGACCGGCACGGCAGAGGTTGGTAAATACAGACATTTGTATGATTCAGCTCTCAAAGATCACCGTGATCAACATGTTGTTAATAATTCTTGGAGAGAAATAGCTCGCACTGTCGGAAAAGACGAGGACGCTGTTAAAAATGCTGGAATGCCATGTTGTAAACAGTAATTTCTACTTCTACTATGGTGTAGTGTTGGATGCATGCTGTAGAGCTCCATGCTGCCCCCTACAGTTTGGGAGAATATTGGCTCACCGCAGAGACGAGCCGCATGAACCATAAACGCTGCGAGTTGTGAAGCGCTTTCCAGCCGCGAGCCGCATCACCGCGCGGAAAGTGAATGCGTCAAGCATAAACCAAGCTTTACGCCCTGGATCACACGTGTTGTACTTCAATTTAAATGAAAAGTACTGATGGGTGTTTCGACCACGCCAGATGCCGGAGGGGAAGGGTGAGTGTTCCATGACCGTGTTTGCGTTCAAATCTAGATTGTTCTGTAGATTTGTTATAGCAGCTTTGATATGTATTCACTTTTTCAGCCGAATGCACACATAATAATACTAATGCATATATTTAAAGCGCATTTATCAACTACTCAACGCTTCTGTGCAAATAAGGAGACAAGCATAGACTTTTAAAACAAGTTCCTGGATTTGTGAGTGCACACCTGTTTTACCTTGTTTTTCTGAAGTTCCTCCTTTTCTTCATGGCCATGAGACAGCAGGATGAACATTTGCGCCTCAGGTCCACGAGCTGGTATATGATGGGATTGTACATTGCTGATGATTTGGCTAGCAACGTAGGAATAACAGACACAGGGATTGGGATAGAGTTTGGCTCTCCAAACGCTGACACCACTGAAACGACTGCATAAGGGATCCAAGCTATCAAGAAGCCAGCGCAGATCAGCATTGCCACCTGGGAGATGATGGAAAACAAGGAGTGGATCACAGATTCTTTATGACACCATAGTTTTGCATTCCTCTAATATCTAAGTCACCTTTGTGAGTTTCATCTCAAGAGCATGGTTGTTTCTGATCCGGGCGTCGTAGTGTGAGATCTCCTCAGAAGTGGACTTGACCTTGCAGATGATCATTACATAGGAGTAGACAATGATGCTGGCTGGGAGAATGAGACATGAAAAAAGCATGGTCATGACAAAACTCTGACCAGAAACGGAGGCTTGAGCAAGCCACCAGTCCAGAGTGCAGGAGGTCCCAAATGGCTCCGGTGCATAGTTCCCCCAGCCAACCAGAGGCATAGTAGCCCAGAAGGCTGCATACACCCATACAAAGGCCAGGCAGAGGAAGGTGTGGCGGCGCTTCAACCATGTCCCTTTAAGTGGAAAAGAAGGGACAAAGATGAAACATGTTATACTTTATGTTTGATTTACTTCAAGCAGACCTTGCAGCATCAGAACACTGTTATGGTTAATGTCCTTATTTAGCTTTATATATTTTATTTTTTTGGGCTTGTATAACTTCTAAGAGCCTTTGCAATTCAGAATGTGCACCACTGACAGAGGAACATTGTGAAGAAAAATGTACCACCTCTTAAATACTTGACGAATTTCAAAAATACAGGCATTAAAATCCAACTACTACCACAGGTCAGTCACTGGGAGGACTATTTCTGAGAGCAGCCCAAGATGACTCATGAACATGTTTTAAAAAACTCCCACACCCACCCATTCAAATTCAAATTGAAATAAAAAAAAACTTGAATTGTCCCCGAGGGGCAATTGTTTCAGTACAGAAGAATTGGTACTGTGGTCATTCGCAACAAGAGTCGCGCTACCGTTAATTAGATGAAAAGGGGATTACAAGAGGATAAATTGGGGGAGGGAAACAAAAGGCATACCAGAGTTACTCCCGGCAGGGCGTAGCTTTACTATGCATAAATAAATAAATAAAAAACCGCCTCAAACATATAAGCACAAACATCAACAATTCACAACATGAGACACCGAGAGGAAGATGGGGGGGGGGGGCTGGGATCCTGTTTCCCCAGCGAGAGCAGCCCTATGGCGCTCAGCCACTGTAGCCACAGGTGGGAGGGAGATCTTGTGAGGAGCACAGAGCACCTGCAGGTTGATGACCTCGCCAGGCTGAAGTCCACCAACCCGAAGGCGGGGGGGGTAGATCGGGTTTTCACAGCATCTGTCTGCATTCCTTTGTGGGGGGTTTGTTGTTGGCATCACAAGGCTGCCATGGTGTCAGATTTGGATAATAAGACTTTGTTTGGGTCAGGCAGAGATAATTTCCTCTCTGCCTTCAAGTCTGTAACTGATCATTCAAGTCCTCCAGTGAAGCCAATTCAGGTTTTAAACATCTCCACACCGTCCAGTGACCCTCTCCGAGATGACATCCATGTTGAGCACTAATACCGGTATCGCAGCTAGAACATTGACCAGCTCACGATTCACCTCGAGTAACGTCCCAGTCTGTGAGGTCTCCACACGGACGGTGCTTTCCGTGGGTGCGGGTCGCCCTCCAATCGCTCCCGTCTTCCCAAATTTCCAGAAAACCAGATGTCCTCCCACTCCAATCAGAAGAAATCCAGTGCTCATCAGGCCAAATATCCACACATCTTCAACATCCTCAATGGACAACTGAGAGAGGCATACGATCTTCCACTTCCTCCAGGAATCGAGCATATATCCCGCTGCGTGTGTCCCTTGCGGGCAAGTGGGAGCCCCCTCCTCCGTTCTCATCGTAGAAAAAATCTTGTCAATCGCGTTGAATGACCAATTAATTAAATCCATTCTAAAAAAATAGGGTTTTTCTGAAGAAATGCAGAGAGGTGCTCTGTGGGCAGACAGGACAAAGAGTCTTGGGAAAAAAAGATAAGGGAGCAAAAGCAGAAGCGTCTGTACTCCGCGAGTGCCGGAAGGCTGCTGTGAGGAGATGACTTCTGATAACCAGCAGGGGTTTGGAGTAGAGCCGCTGCTCCTCCATGTTCCCTTAGCGTCAACAGGTAATTTGGGGGGTTCTATGCTAATTTCCCTCATTATGATGGCACAATAAAGGAACTGAGAGAAAATGGCTAGACTTTTTTTTTCATGTTTGCAGCGTAAAGCCGGAGGAGGTTTGTAGAGTGTGCATTAGAGATTGTGACAGAACATTTATACGACAGAAAAGTTTGCTTTCTTCAATGCATTTTCAAACATTAAAGGGAACATTTTACTTCTCATTTGAGAAGCTTTATCAGTTCAAACAGAAGAGAACAAAGTACCAAGCCTTTAAACTGATAGTTTTAAAGAGCAAGTCACACCAAAATCAACTTCTTTTTGCTGATAACTTGCATAAATAAGTGTACTATAGTGTTGTTGACATCGACGTAATTTTCACTTTAGAAGTGGGGGGGACTGGGGGGGGGGGGTATCTTTACAGTATGCTCTAATGGGGAACAGGCTTCAACACAAACGGTTGTTTTCCGCTTGGTCCTAGAGCTCAACCAGTGTCAATTTAATATAGCGTAATGTTGTTTTTGGATGGTAAAAAGTGCAGGGGTCAAAACTTGACTTTGGAAAAAGTGGGGGGGGGGGGGGGGGCATGTCCCCCCCCAAAAAAATATTACGTCCATGGTTGTAGACATGTGTAGTCGTTCTTTTTGCATTTTGGTGCATTTTCTTTAAAAAAAAATCAAGATTCAACCTAAAACCTTCAGTCCAGCGACCTCTTCAGCTCAAAAATATTCTACACAAATTTACAACAGCAGTTTGAAATCTGTCTCGACCAATGGGTGAAAGGTCACATGAAACGTAACCGGATCCCATGTAAGGTGTCAGACCTCTGTGGCTGTAAGTTATAAAAGCATCGCGGTCTCAGCCAGGCTTGTTGCAGTGGACTCGGATTAGCCGCAAGTGTTTATACTGTAGCGTAGCTGTAGTTAGCATTAGCACTGAGTCAGAGTCCTAGCAATGCTTCTAGTGTTATAATCAGGGCTTTATTTGAGCCGGATCTTGCCGGGAAAAAGTTATGAAAAGAATGGGTGGCAAAGGGCAGCCTTGGCGGAGTCCAGCTCCACCAATAGACATAGTGGACATATTACGCAAAACTACCGTATTTTCCGGACTATAAGCCGCTACTTTTTTCCCACGCTTTGAACCGTGCGGCTTATAATGAGGTGCGGCTTTACTGAAGATTTTCCTTCACCTGCCACTAGGGGGCGCTTTAGCATTAAGTGAAACAGGTGGAAGTCAAAAGTGGAAATCGAAGAAAGTGCTCATTTTAATTTAGCACATGCAAGCAGCCGGCACAACGAAGAATTTGTTTCAAATCCATACCCCTCATCATGGTAACTACACGTATGAGTTCATATGATGCCGCATTTAAGTTGAAGGCCATGGATCTGGCAGTAAAGGAGGGAAACAGTGCTGCCGCACGTAAGCTTGGCATGAATGGATCCATGGTTCGGCGCTGGAGACGGCAGCGGGAAGAACTCATTCAAGCCAGCTTCACCCGGGGATGATGACAGCAACACGGACAGCGACACTGACATCGCCACAGAAAAGGTATGTGACGAAGCTCTTCTGAGGCTGTTCAACTCCGACACTGAAGAAGAGGACTTTAATGGCTTTAGTGCACAAGAGGAAGATGAGAGCGAATGACTTCTTCTGGTAGGCAAGTGTTTTATTTACTAACCAGGCATGTTTTGTGTGCAGTTTTTATTTTCTAACCATCCAGGGCTTATTAATGCTGAGTCAGCGCTGTTCTTTTCTTCTAAACATGCAAATGACCGGTAATAACGTGTCAGTGCTGTTTTTATTTTATAACATCCAGAAATATGAATGCTATCAGTGCTGTTTTCTTTTCTACACTTGCAGGCACGTTCACCCGTGTTTAAAATTAGTTTTGTTGAATTAAAACAACAAAAAACCTCCGTGTAGCGTCTTTCTGTCTGATTATCTTATGTTACGGCCGTACATGCGCTGTGCGCCGCAGACCTGCATGTGGCTGCTGCGCCGCGGCTTGTACTCGAGTACGGCGTGTTTGTAGAAAACCTTTTTTTTGTTGGTGCGGCTTATATTGAGGTGCGCTCTATAGTCCGGAAATTACGGTAACTCCTCTAAAAACTCCAAATGTGAATAAAAACTGTCCATCCGTTTTCTATCAGTGTTTGATTTAAAGAATTATGTGCCTATGAAGAGATGTTTGAAAAAGTCCCACAATAAGTGGAATTAGCATAGAAACTGCTGAGATCTCTGTATGCAAGAGGGATTTAGTACAAAAAGCTACTGTAACAATACAAAAATAATACCTTTAGTACTTTGCAACTTACTGTATGAACTGAAAAAGCTCCTTGAGTCAGAAGCAAAACATCTTCAGAAAATTAAGTCTAGTAATGAAACAAATTTAACATGTTTATTTAAATGTGACATTTATTTGACAAAAGAAAAATGTCAACAAATGAAGCCAACTATACTCGCATTAGACTAGTCAAGAGTTTGTTCATTTAGTTTGAATGCTTTCATTAGGATTACTTTCATAACCCGTCAGACCTGTAAGCTGTCATTTTAAAGGGTTAGTGAACATTTCTGACGAACCATATTGGAGATGGCAGATCTTGAGGTATCGATCGAGGCTAACAACAGTCATCGTGATGAGGCTCCCACAGCCGAAGAAGAAGCCTGTCCAGCCGTAGAAGCGACAGCCGTTCCAACCGAACAACCAGCGATGGGAGAAACTGGATGCAACAAAAAAGGGCTTTCCTGTAACTAAAAGGTAGGAAAAAACGTTCCAAAGGGAGAAAAGCAAAAACCAGCAAGAGGACAGAGAAAAGGGGATGAGAGAAAAAAATAATTAGTGTTAGTTCAGTTGAATGGAAAAATTATACCTTCATTGGAAACTAAATTTTCAGTTGGTTTGATGATTTTATAGTAATATTCTTTAACTGGTCTATTTAATCCCAAAGCCTGAATGATGAAAACTGACCTAGGGGCTGAATGGTGGGGCAGTTACTAGCACTGCTGGTTTGGAATCAACCTGCACAGCCTTTCTATGTGGAGTTAGCATGTTTTCTCTATGATCTCTCTCATTTTAGGTTGATTAGAGACTTTAAGTTATCCCCAGGTGGTGTGTGTGCGGTGTTGTCCCCGAACACGTTCAGCAAATGGTAAATGGCCTGTATTAATGGATCCAAGATGGCGGCGCGTGAACAACGCGAGGCTCAGTGTCTCTCCAGAATCTGCTATTTAGCGTTTTTTTATCTACTTTTAACCGGATTATTCATCCAGAATTGCTGTGCGTGGCTGACCTACAGCAGACAAGAGATTCTGGACATCTGGACTTATAACTCCAACAGTTTTATCGCCGATCTCCGACTCATCCCAGAGATCTCCAGAACACCGTCTGCATGCAGACGGCGCCGAGAACGTAAACAAAGGCGAGGTAGGCGTGGAGGGCTACGGGCCAAGCTAAGGCTAACACCACATCGGCTGCCTTTACCCAGTATCTTCCTCGCCAATGTCCGTTCTCTGGCAAACAAAATGGATGAGATACGGCTCACCATGACTAACAACAGACGGATTATGGACTCAAATGCCATGTTTTTTTACCGAAACATGGTTGAACAACAGCTGCCCGGAAAATGCTATCGAGTTAGCAGGACGCCACACACACCGAGCCGACAGGCTAGCAGATGACTCCGGCAAGACCAGAGGTGGAGGTTTGTGCATTTATATTAACGATGCTTGGTGCATGAACTCCACTACTACTGAGAGTCACTGCTCACCCAATGCGGAGTTTTAAACGGTCAAATGCGGACCTTATTATCTCTCCAGAGAGCTCACCTCGATCATACTTACTGCAGTGTATAACACCAGAATAAACACCCCAAGGCTGCTTTTATTGTTGCTGGCGACTTCAACCTAAAGACATTCCTCCCCAGATTCCACCAACATGTCTCCTGCCACACTAGAGGGGACAAGACTTTAGACCATGTTTATTCCAACTTGGCTGGAGCCTACAAAGCAACACCCCTCCCCCACATTGGACAATGGGACCATCTCTCCCTGTTCCTCACACCTCGGTATTCACCACTCATCCAACGTGTGAAACCTGCTGTGAGGACAATTAAAGTGTGGTCAGAGGGGACAGACGCGGTGCTCCAGGACAGATTTAAAAACACAGACTGGAATATGTTCACCAACACAGACCTGGACCAGTACGCCTCATCTGTACTGGATTACATCTCCGTAACCACAGACAGTGTCACCACCCAGAAAAGGATCACCATGTACCCCAATCAGAAGCCTTGGATGAACCGGGATGTTTGTCTCCTACTGAAGACCCGCAACACCGCTTTTAGGACAGGAGATGCACACGCCTACAGTACAGCCAGGGCTAATCTAAAGAAGGGCATCAAAAAAGCCAAACACCATTACAAAAAGAAGATAGAAGAACACTTCTCCAACTCCAACTCCCGACGCATGTGACAAGGACTCCAGACCATCATAGACTACAGGATCACCAAACCCTCCCCCGCATCCTCTGATGTTTCCTTGCTCAACGAGCTCAACAACTTTGATGCTTGTTTTGAGCGAGGGAACCTCACAACCACAACCATAACAGACATGACGCCAGACCACCAACCTCTGACTCTCTCCCCCACCGATGTACGAGCAGCGCTGAGCAGGATCAATGTCCACAAGGCTGCAGGCCCTGATGGCATCCCTGGGCGTGTTCTCAGAGTGTGTTCTGGGGAGCTCGCAGGAGTGCTCACAGACATATTCAATCTGTCCTTGGCCCATGCTGTGGTACCGGCCTGCTTCAAATCCACCTCCATCGTCCCGATACCCAAAAACTCCAACCCATCTAGCCTCAGTGACTACTGCCTGGTAGCACTCACCCCCATCATCACTAAGTGCTTAGAGCAGCTGGTCTTGGCACACTTCAAATCCTGTCTCCCCCCCACCCTGGACCCCCACCAATTTGCATACCACCAGAACAGGAGCACAGAGGATGCAGTCTCCATAGAGCTCCGGGAGTTGACGTCACTTTTCCCGGCATGCAACAGTTCAAATCGAAACGGCGCCATATTGGCAGGCAGAAGCCGGCAGCTGGACTATTTGTTATCGTCAGAAAACTCAATCAAACGGGAAATATGGTAGATTCCTGTTGTGCCCCAGGATGCAGAACAGACGCAGACGACATAAGGAATGAGCCATCTACAGGATTCCCCAAGATCCGGAGCGCCGCAAACGTTGGATCATTGTAATAAAATGCGCTAGTGACCGGGCAAAAATGAAGCTGTGGGATCCCGAGAGTAAAGGTTTTCACTTATGCAGCAACAGCTTCATATCAGGTACTTAAACCAACGTTTCCTCAACTGTGTGTGGTATTTATTTTAAATGCTTTTATTATGATTCTTAGTGGGCTTCCTAAACTTATTTTGGCGTGGCTTTTTCTGTCTTATTACTCATAGCAGCAAGTAAACGTCACGTAAAACGTTGCCTCGTGAGTTCTGCGTGCTGCCGTTTACGTGTTTTATGATCACAGCAATTAACCGGCTAAGCTGTATTTAATTTTTAAGCAATGGTTGATCAATTGTCAGATCACACACCGAGACTACTTACGTGTAAATCTGTTATTTGTCCGTCCATCCATCCATTTTCATCCGCGTATCCGGAGTCGGGTTGCGGGGGCAGTAGCGTGACTTCCCTCTCCCCAGCCGCCGGAGCCAGCTCCTCCGGGTAAATCCCAAGGGGTTCCCCGGTCAGGTCCGGTGTTGTGCCGGTAAGAAGCCCGCTCCGACAGCTTCTGGCGTCGGAGCGGGCAGTAGAGTCGAGAGTCCCAGACCTTCTCCCCAGCTCCTCCGGCCGGGGGAACCCCTTGGGATTCCCCCAGGTCCGGTGTTGTGCCGGTAAGAAGTCCGCTCCGACATCTTCTGGCGTTTTTAAAAAGTATCCCAGGGGCACGGTAAGGGTCGGAGATGTTTAGTCTATTTGATTTCTGACTATATAAAACGATTTCTTCTGTTTTAAAGTGTGAAGTAAACTCCGACGAAGTAAAATCCAAGCGGATCCCGTTCATGTTCATGGTTACATCCGTGTTTGTTTACCTTTTTTGCATGCCAAAATGGCGTCCACTAACTGAGAGTCACGTGGGGTCCGGAGCTCTATTGCACTGCACTCTGTCCTCTCACACCTGGACAACACCAACACCTACGCCAGAATGCTGTTTATAGACTTCAGTTCAGCATTCAATACAATTCACCCCTCACAACTCATCAGGAAAATGACAGACCTGGGGATCAGTTCCCTCACCTGCAAATGGTTACTGGACTTCCTGACCAACCGCCCTCAACATGTCCGACTGGATAACCGCTGCTCATCAACAATCACAATGAACACTGGTGTACCACAAGGCTGTGTGATAAGCCCTTTCCTCTACTCCCTTTTCACCCACGACTGCAGACCTGCTGATGGTTCCAACACCATCATTAAGTTTGCAGATGACACCACGGTGATTGGCCTCATCAGTGACAATGATGAGACCGCCTACAGGGTGGAGGTGGACCATCTGACTAAGTGGTGCCACACAAACAACCTGCTGCGCAACACTGAGAAGACTAAGGAGCTCATCGTGGACTACAGGAGGAATGCTGACCCACATCCACCCATCCACATTAAGGGGACGGCAGTGGAGCGTGTGAGCAGCTTCAAGTTCCTGGGAGTCCACATCTCCGAGGATCTCACCTGGACTACCAACTGCTCCAAGCTGGTCAAGAAGGCTCACCAGCGCCTCTTCTTCTGGAGGTTTCTGAGGAAGAACAACCTGTCCTCAGACATCCTGGTGAACTTCTATCGCTGCACCATTGAGAGCATCCTGACCAACTGTATAACAGTCTGGTATGGGAACTGCTCCGCCTCGGACCGGAAGGCGTTGCAGAGGGTCGGGAAAACTGCCCAGCGCATCGCCGGAGCACCACTTCCTGCCATAAAGGACATCTACAGGAAGCGGTGTCTGAAAAGGGCAGGGAAAATCATCAGAGACCACGGTCACCCATCACATGCACTGATCACCCTGCTGCCCTCTGGGAGGCGCTACAGGAGCCTCCGGACTAAGACCACCAGGTACCGGAACAGTTTCTTCCCCACAGCTGTCAGACTCCTGAACTCTGCCTCCTGACATATGACCCACGTTAAACTCATGGACTGCTTGTATTAACCACAGCCTGTCCATACTTATAGTCATAGAATATTCATAACATACTTCATACCGTGTACATTATAACATACGTAATAGATCCATTTCTGTAATATACTTACACATCTATATTATTGCTAACATATATTGTAATACATCTATATCACGGCTAAAGCACTTTCTGGATGGATGCAAACTGCATTTCGTTGCCCTGTACCTGTACATGTGCAATGTCAATAAAGTTGAATTCTATTCTATTCTATTCTATTCTATTTGATATAGAGCCTTCTAGAGTCTTGGAACCCCCCAAGGCGCTTTACAACACAATCAGTCAATCACCCATTTACACACACAGCACTGACAGAGGCGAGGCTGTCAAGCACTGGCGCCACCGGTCCCTCCGACCACCACCAGCAGGCAACGTGGGTTAAGTGTCTTGCCCAAGGACACAACGACAGCGACAGACTGAGCGGGGCTCGAACCTGCAACCTTCCAATTACGGGGCGAGCGCTTAACTCCTGTGCCACCATCAAATGATCATTCGTGAACTTGTTTGTTTGTTTGTTTT